TTACATCCTATTTTCTTGAACCTAACCTACCTATTGCAATATAAATGTTATTTCCTCTAGAGGAGCTTAAGGTACAGAATTAGATGGTTTAAATAAGAAAGTAAAGTATAAACTGTGTTAAAGAATTTCATTTGAGTTTCTGAAAATTAAGTTACTTCAATCCTAGATTTTTGCCCTGACTTTCTAAGAACTGCTTTAATATTGGAACCACAGTTTTTCCTCAGTTTTTGTATGTCTATAAATTCATAAAGGCAGCAATCAAGTTCATTAACAGTCACCTACTAGGATAAATTTTTAGAACAATTTTAAATGAGAAAAACTTACAAGAAAATCTTCCTTTTCCTTTCATTTTCCAAAAATGTAATCATTGTTTCATCTCTATTTTTGTTCCTTATTTAAAAAATTAACACTATATTCAGATAAACATTTGTAGCATTTTGTTTCAATTCTATTTTGAACAGTCACAATATTGCAGTCAGTTGGCTGTTGTCTTCTTCTGGAAAGTTTTCATAGAAGTCAAATGCCTAGGCTGATGATGTGCATGAGTAAAGAAATCACCTATTTACATCATGCAGCAAGCAATTAGCAGGAACAAGTTTTGCAAGAGCTGATATAAGAGAGTATTGCATCTCACCTGCTACTGAATTCTGTCTTCCTTTTATGGCTTCATTGTTTTGTGTGGAATAACTTCCTAGAGCATCGGTCAACTTCTATTCAGATTTAAGTTTAAAAATACATTCCATAGCCAAATGGTAATTGGTAACCTATGAGTTAGTGGCTAAATCTTATATTACATTATTGAGAAATAATTGTACTTACTACAGTTTTTATGTGGGTTTATGAAGTGATTTCTTTTATATTGTTAAGAATAATCAAAACTCAACAAAATTTGAACATAAAGTTTTTTCTGAACAGTAGTTCTGTATGCATAGAGGGAGACCATTTTGAGTCCCGAAAAAGCAAATGGCTCCAAGAAGCTAGGTATAATGAGGCATATAAAGAGGAGGGAGAAATATAGAAGGTCAACCATTGGCTAATCTTAACATGATTGATTGAACCCTGCCCTCCCCCTTTTACTCAGATGAAACTGGTCCTGGGTCACAAGATGATCTCTGACTCTCCACTCAGCCATATATTTTGAAATTCAGATTTAGTTAACCTGACTTGGAACAGGAAAGAAAGGATTTGCAGCTTTAGTTGAAAGGAAAGTCACCGTCAGATTAATTTTGGTCAGGAATTTATTTAAAGTGAGTATTTTGTTTTGTGCGTTAAAAAAAAAAAACCCTCAAAATCAAAGCAAGATATCTGCTATCGATTTCTCTCTTTGACAATATGTGACTATTAATTAATGAAATACCTTTATTCCCTTTATTTCCCTGCTCCAACATTAAAGGCCAAATGAATCTATCAATTAGTAAATTATTAAGATTTAAATTAATAGATTTTATTTTTCACCAACAAACACATCTATCCTCTTAAGTTTTGTAAACTGTGTTCATTGATTAAAGTAAAACTTATAATATTGAACAAAAAATAAATTGATAGATTTGATTTTCTGGAGGGGTTTTTTTGTTTTGTTTTGTTTTGTTTTTTCATTATTTCTAATTTCTGGGAAACTTAAAAAAAAAAAAAGTTGCCATTGAGTGAATTCCAACTCATGGCGACCCCATGTATTTCAGGGTAGATCTGCATTCCATAGGGTTTTCAATGGCTGTGACCTTTTGGAAATAGGTCTCCAGGCCTTTCTTCCAAGGTGCCTCTGGGTGGACTCAAACTTCTAATCTTTCAGTTAGCAGCCAAGTGCTTAACCAGCACCTAAGCGTTTGTGAAACTTGGTTGTTGTTGTTGTTAGGTGCCATCGAGTCAGTTTTGACTCATAATGAACTTATGTACAGCAGAACAATTATGGATGGTAAAATATGAAGTGATACTTTTTAGCTTTTCAAGTTGATTGAATAATTGACAGAATCTAAAAAGTTCTAACTAGTTGCTCAGAAATACAAATGGGTATTCCTTTCTCCACTGATAAAGACATCCAGTTTCAATATTATAGAAGAAAAATAATCTTGCACAGACTGAAGCCCTTTATGAAAACTTCTCTGCTCTTTGGCATATGCATTTCAGATCTAGAGTTTGCCATCAGGTTATGAGTGATTTCTGTTTCTATGACAATGAGAAAAGAAACTCCAAGGCAACAGGGTCCAATGATTATGTACAGAGATGAAAGTCCATTATGCTGCTTCTCACTTCTAGATCCTTTATATCCCTTGTCAAAAAAAAGTATCCTAGAGCTCTTTGAAACAAAATTTTCAGTTACTTTCAGTGTTTTGCTGTGTCCTTGTTCCTTTTCTATGACACAGTTTCAAAACATTATTCTTACTTGTAAATGTCTCTAGCTTTCTCGTTTATGATTTTTTGTATGTCACCTACAGACAGCATGATACAGTAAAAAAAAAAGAAAAGAAAGAGAGAGAGAGAGAGAGAGAAACCAGTGTTCTGGTCCTTGTACAAGGCCATGTAAGTAATAAGTAACTTCTCAGGATGTCAGATTCTTTATCTGCATAAAAGGGAAACTGTTACCTTTCTCTTAAGGTTATACTGATTAAATTAGAGTATATATAAAGGGCCTTTTCATTCTTCCGGGGTGCTGACACACAGTATAAGAAAGTGCTCAGTAAATGTTAGCCCCTCCTTGAGGGACACTCCACCAGATACCCCATCCCTACCTCCAAGCCGCCACCACATATACACACTTAGTGGAATTAGAAAACAGAGGTCTGTTGTTGGCTAACTCGCTGTACAAACACTGGCAGAGCCCAAACCATCTTCTGCCCTTAGAGACCAAAATACCTGTCTTGATATGATAGTAGCCAACTTTCTTTTCATGCTATAAAAGTTTTTATTTTGTTTTAGAGTAGAGTAAGCAGGCTGAATTCCTTGCTTCTTTCTTTACTTTAGAAACAATATTACAGAATCCATTCATATGACATTGACTGATTCTGCTTGTTTTATTGTTGCTAACCTTTTTTCTTTTTTCTGATTATGGACTTGATAGATACTAGTACTAAGACTTTTTTAATCAGCCATTTTTATTCCGCTAAGATCTTTTATTTTATAAAGCTCAGAAAATAAAAATAACCCCTAAATCTCGTCACTGATGTGGTCTTATGTATTCTACTTCAGATTTTTCTATGCTTATATAAAGATGGGTTCCCCCTGACCAAAAATTAGACTTTTGCTGTAGATAAGGTCTTGTAACTTTTTTCACTCAATAGTAGTGAGTAAACATAGGTAAATACTGATCCTGAGGAGCAGTATCATTCAGTGGTTACAATCATGAATTCTGGAGTCAGAGACCTGAGTTTGAATCCATTTCTGCTACTTACTATCTACAAGCATTAATTTACTCACCTGTACAATAAGGAGAATAATAGCATATACCTCCTACGGTTTTTATATTATCTGAGATGAGGAATGGCAAGTGCTCAGAAGTATCTGGCACATAGTAAAAAGTATAAAAAGTTTTACCTATTTATAATCATTTTTAAGAGCTGTATAGGAGTCATGGTGGCACAGCGGTTTAATGTTCAGCTGCTAACCAAAAGATTGGCAGTTCAAACCCACCAAGTGGCTCTGTGGGAGAAAGACCTGTCACTCTTCTACAGTAAAGATCATTGTTGTGTGCCGTGTAGTCTATTCTGACTCAGAGCAACCCTATAGGACAGAGTAGAACTGCCCCATGGAGTTTCTGTAGGCTGTAATCTTTACAGAAGCCAGCTGCCACTTTGTTGTAAAAACATTAAGAGCACATTTGCCAATTCAACATTTTTCACTTGTACAATTCAATAAAATTGCACCAATCATGTTGTGCAGGCATCACCAGTATTATGTAAGGCTTTTAATATGTATCACTAAATAAATAGCCCTCCCAAAAGGATTGTAAAACCTTAACACTTAATACGCTTTACTGTTGAAGGTAATTCGTCTTGAGTCATCTTTCAAAGTGATATATTTAAAACTCTTAACTATATGAGTATACTACAGCACAGTCATTATTTTCATACATAATTTTCAAAATGGAGCACCTGGCTGCTCTTGAGCCACAGTTCTCTTGTTCCACCTCTGTCCTCCAATTACTTCTTAGAATTTAAGTTTTCCTCTTAGAAGAGTATTTTGTTATGAATCTTCTAATCTTATTAAAATAAGGTAGCAGTGCTACAGTTTTCACATTTGATAGCAACCTAATTGGTTAATTTGTTAATGGCCTTTTTGAAGAGCAATTTTTAATTTTTTTTTTTTAATAGAAAATACTACTTCACAAACTTTGATTACTAAACTATTGCCTGGGTTAGATTTCTCTTCAGCACCGTAGAGAGAAGGCTGATATAAAAATGTATTTACATAAATGGAGTTTAGCCATGTCCTTAATGATAAAGCTTCCGGGAGCCCGGAGCCTAACTTATCTACCAGGTCCTGACACTTGGTATTAGCTTACTGCCTTCCTGCTGCTCGGGTTAAAAGCAAAACTAGTTCTCTTGAAGAGATAGAAATAGTTTTCTTCGCAGCAGTTTGACTGCTTTTACATCTAACAAGAAAGGAACTTCATTTTTAAAAAAAAAAAAATTTTCCTAATTTTATAGTAAATCCATGCATGGTTCTATGAAAATTTACAAACAGTATAGGAAAATACGAAGAAAGATGTAAAAATCACTTTAAATCCCACTGCCATGTGATACAGTATTCATATCCGTTGACCATCCATTTGTTTGCATGTCATATATGACCTAATCTTTCTACTTTTTATTGAAATAAAATATTCATACTGAAAAGCACACATAAATACCCTCACAAACCAGAAGACTCCATGAGGAAAGAAGTGTTTTGAAGTGTTTAGGTTTCTTTTTGTCTTTGCAGAGCAAGTTCCCAGTGCTGTAATAGTGCAGATTTGCCTTCTCTTAACCGTCAATGATTTCACCAGATAACTGACTGGTAACTGACTCAGAGCTAGCAAGGCTGTTGCCCAGAACATAATAAAGCACTGTGTAGTGAGACGTCACAAGACTGATTTTGCATAGGGCTTAGTCAAGGCTTTTGGAACCGCCCTCAGCTGCACCTTGTGCTATATTAGTACTTCTCAGACAGGAAGAATTTTCTTTCACTGGCGTAGCTGGTCCGGTTACCTTTGGTAAGTGTGTACAGTTCATGTAAACAAATGAGTTTCTCTTGTTTAACTTTAAATGATTTCTGTTTGATTATCTTGTTGAAATTTCAGGCATTTAAAAATACCAAGTTAGGAAATGAAAGTAGAATGATCCAGTATTGTGTAAAACTGTCTTCTTTTTAGTTTGCAAATGAATGTATAAAACTTTAGAGTATCTTAGGTCTTAGAAATTACAATTACAGGATCTAATTTTAAGAGCTTCTTGTTTGACATGTTGATGTTAGGAGAAAGCAAAGTACCCTCAGAAATCTCTTTCCAAGGGGAGAAAAAAGAAAAAACTGTAAGATCCAATTTTGTTGTTCATTGAGTTGCTATGTAACTCAGCTTTGCTGTGATAGCCACATGCTTTGTGTCCCTAGGATTAGGAACTATTTATTACTACCAGTAATGAAGATGATTAAATTTTGTTTTGTGCCTGTGACTTTTACCCAGGATATCACGGAAAGGGATTAAACAAGTATTTTTCTGAATTGATAAATGATGGATTACTACCCCTGAGACTTAGAACAAACTATAGATTGAAAATTAAAATTCAAACGTGCATATTACAGTAAAAGCCTAGAACTAAGCTTATGACTAAGTTGGATTTAGATCATTGAATTGTCTGCATTTTACACAGTTTTATTTTCTTTAAGTCAGAAAAATCAGATAATGTAGCAGACCATTTCTTAAAGCAGTTTGCTTGGTTTTTATTAGGAGCCTGTATCCAAGCCCTACATCTCTGGATATTGCTTGCCACCTGTGTTGTTGTTCTAGGACAAAACAAGGACAGAAGAACTCAGAGTACCTTAAGGGTAATCAGTATAAATTATTTAAATCTTCATGTGCCTTAGTTTCTTCATCTTTGAAAAACAGTTTAGATATTCTAGGCAGGATAGACGAATAAATTCTGACGTTTTCTAGCTCTGAAATTCTGTATTTTCATTAGTATTCATAAACTTCTGACTGAAAAGCCAACTTATATTAGTAAAGAAAACTGGTATAAATTGTCAATTTTTAAATAACTAGCCTTTGAAATTTTTTTTTCTTCCTTCCTCATCTTCCCCTCCCATCTTTTGCTATTCAGTTTCGTTTTTTTTTTTTTTTTTTTATGTCTGTATTGAGAAAGTTTCACTTTCCAGTGTTGTTTTGACTTTTTTTCCCCCCTGCTGCTGTGCTGAAAATCTAATCAGGGAAATTATTTAAATGCCCGAAGAAGCTGATTTACAACTCTTACGGAAACAACCTTGAACTTATAGTTTGATTTTGCATGTGTTAAAGTGTAACTTCTCTATCCCACCCCCTAATCATCTTAAGGTAGTGACATTTTTTAAAACCCAAACTTAATTGTAAGTATTACAGGTTGCTGGAAAAGTACAAATGTAAAAAATGTAAAAATTACAAAACACTACAAACAGTATAGTACTGTTGCTGATACCCCTGTCCATATTATAGTAATACATGACTTTTCTTATGTAAATAGTAAACACCTTACCATTCAAAATATTTCCTTAGTAGTATAATGTAGTGTGAATGTTTCTACAACTATCAAAATTAAAGCAGAGTCCTAACTTTTGAAGATACGTTAATGAATTTAATCTTTTTTTTTTCTACTTTCCTGAGACAAAATCAAATGGACCTTTAAAAGTATTTCATTTGCATTCAGATACTGTAAAACTTGTTTTAAAGCAAGTATATTTTTCATGTAGACACAAATTTTCATTAATTGATTTGTAAACTGTTATTTTCGAAGTAAAGTTACTAATCTCAAAATGAAATAACACAATAGCTAAAACTTTCTATTATCAAGGTTCTGCTATTTAAATGAAGTTCTTACCTCCTGCTTGGTCTTTAGCCTTGTACTACATGTTCCTTGTAATGAACACTGTCATAGTAGAGACCTTAACCTTATCCGAAAGCATACAAAATAATTGTTTTCCAGTTTCAAAGATGTGATAGTCCACATTTAAGGATTCCAAAGACTTAAAACTTTAAAACTTCCTTTGAAGAGAGTTCATAGTTCAAGGGTAGTATTTTCTATTTTTGAACACGTCTTCCACACTGGATGTGTTTTTTCCAACAACTCTTCTCTTAAATAAAGCATCTGCAACAGATGACTGTTGGCAAAGCAAGCCAGAACTTTATATACCAAGTATAGTTTTACAAGTCTATTGGTTTAAAAATAACTTGCCCTAAATTTCAGTGTCTTCCTTCATATAGTGCCAGAATGCTGACATTTATTATGCCTTGGTCTTTATACTTTCATAATGATGTAGACCTAGAAGTAATTTTTGTATAAGGGCTACAGTATCACTTTATTTGAGATTATCTTTAACCATAAATAAATTCTGGTTAGATTGCCACTGAAGATTCAGAAGAATGAAAGACTTTTTAGTTGAAATTTGCATACTATCCATGAGCTGTTAGGTTTATTTATCAAAAATAATGCCCTGCTAAAGTTGGCCATTATCAAATTTCTGATAACTTTTTTTTTGTTTGTGTCTTATTTAAATAAAATTAGAAGAGACCATGAGCAAGAATATTCTTTAACCTACCAGCACTGGCTTGATTTTTTTGTTGTTGATGTTTGTTAACTAAAAATTAACATTCTAAAAAGAACCATACCTGGGGGGGTGGAGAGAAATTGTGCTGCCTGACTATGTGCAACAAAAAGATCTTAGATTCCCAGATATCAAATGTATTCATCACCGCTTGAACTCTGTTTTCCTTTGTCTTTTCAAATGTTTCACAGATGATGTGGTATTTTTATAAACTCCACTTTTCCACATTCTTCTTCCTCTTTCCCAAGCTACTAAAATGGCTTGATTTAGTACTATCTGAGAAATCTAGTCTCCTTTTCAGATATTAAACATCAAAGAAAAGCCATAAGTGCTTAATACTGTATAGTTTGGTTTCTGTGAAAGAAGAAACAGACTTGCATGCAGCTTATGATACCTTCTTTGTTAAAGGTAGATGACTAAGACAGAAAGAAGTCAGACCAAGTAAAGTTTTACTAAAGTATAATCAGCTCAACAAAAGATGACTGAATCCCAACTACCATTATGATTTTGTTTTTGGGGTGGTGATCAAATGTTTATGAGGCAAATAGAGTGTAGATAGATACTTTTGCAGATACATTATTTTTCAGATGTGAAAAATTGGAAGTATCATATTACCATTTGGAAACACTATGCTTATTCAACTCTAAGATGCCATCAGTTATAAAACCATCAACTTACTAGCAGCCCTTTTAGGAAAGGGATTAAAATACATTTTATAAGACATTTCCCAATTTCACAGACTTTAAAATGGAAGAGGAAGTGGCTGGATTTTAGAATCTGATAAAAGTTGGTATTTCTACTTTAATACATAAAGAACACAACCTAATATCCAACTT